GTGGCAGTGGAAGGTGTCAAAGCAGTTTGGAGAGAAAAACAAAGTAAAGAACAAAAAAAGGGAAAACGATTAATCGATTATTAAATTAGTCATCTATTATTTTACTAATCGATTAGTTGTCGATTAATCGATTAATCGTGGCAGCCCTATTCCCAAGTGTAGGCTCGGGACCAACTCTGGGTCCTGAAAAAACAACTCTGGGTCCTGAAAAGCTTTTCAGAGTTTATTACATTTAAAAAATGACGAGTAGCAACTATTTTTATCCCTAATTGTTACAAAAAGTGAGTTTAGTGTGTTTAAAACTGGATGAAAGTAGCATAAGGAATATTGTTATTTGACCTGATATCAACTAAAACAAGTTGGGGCCACAGGTCTGCTGGTGTTTTGTGGGTCTGAAGCTGAAAAAAAAAACTTATTTTTGGTTTTTCTGTTTCACAATGAAACAAGAAAAAAATGACTAATCGGGTGGGGGTTTTTTCTTTAAAACTAAATTACAAAAATGACAACTGCAAAAATAAAAAGGCTAAGTTTTCAATTTTAAAGCAATGTGAGTGTCGTGGTATGAAAGCAGAAACATGTTGGAATAATGCCAGAAAAGTCTGACACGATCAGCAGACAAAAAACAGGTCAGCTTTGTCAGCCTCCATCTTCCGGTGGATGTCCGAGACAAAACAGTCGACCGCTGCGGGCCGTCCTCCGGTCCTTGAAGCCGCCATTTCGACAACGCCAATTTCTGTCGTGGTATGAAAGCAGAAACATGTTGGAATAATGCCAGAAAAGTCTGCGTGTATGGTCGTAATTAATTATTTAATTCTGAGCAACAAACAAACAGGACTCAATCAGGAAGACTCTGTTGGCTCGTCGCTGACACGTCAGCGGACACAGCCAATAATATACACCATGATAACATCATATGACGTGCTTATAACCAATCACAGATCGCCTAATATACTCTCCAGCCTATCACAGGGCTCCCAGCTCAAAGAGTGTCTTATCAAACAAGAGAGGTCAGTCCGTTGCGCAGTCCTGTTGTCTGGGCAAACAGATTAACATTGGACATGTGACACAGATAGATAATTAGTCCATAACAGTGAGTTTTAAATTTTGTCAGTGCACTGGTGTCCTGAATTCCTGGAGTGTTAGGTTTTCACTCATTGAAAGCTGTGGGATGATCCTAATGTGAACAAAATGACTTTAATGTTTCTTTAATATTTAATATTCCAGGTTCTGCTGAGTCAGATTGGAGTGCAGCTGTTGTTCATGTGTTCAGGACTGGTTTCAGTCTTTAGATCAGGGGTGGGCAATCCTGGTCCTCGAGGGCCGCAGTCCTACATGTTTTACATGTTTCCCTGCTCCAACACACCTGATTACCTCTTCAAGTTCTGCTGTACGGACGACCAAAACTGACATAATTAGAATTAAAAGCAGAAACATATAAA